CAGACCGTTTAAAATTCTATTATTAAAGTATATTATTATTTTATATTAAAGAACTGAAAGAATAACTGGTAAAAATGAACTTTCTGTCACGCTCACCCATTGCTGCCGACTTACTGAGGGTCACTATAGAGTGTAGCTCTAATCAGGTGGACACACCACTGAGAGTTCTCTCCGACAGCTGCTGTCGGGAAGACTCTCGACAGCTGAAACTCGCATAAGTTTGCTCTCATATGGATACACAGATGAGAGAACTAGCGACAGTAACTATCGAGAGTCCGCTCTCAAGTGGAAACGGGCCTTAAGGTTGGATGCAATAGTTTCAAGATCCATTGGAGGAATGTTACTTTTTTGAGCGTCATTATGAGCTGGTCATTGTACCTTTTGCATTGTCCTCCAGGGTTGCGGCGTGCCTCGGACAGCTGCCATGAGAGGATCTGGCGGGGAAGTCGGTGCTCTGGCATGCGGATGACGTGTCCCGTCCACTGCAATCGTCGCTTCGCCAGAAATGCCTCTATTCTGGTGGTGTTGGCAGGCAGGAGGATGTCAGTATGAGGGACTTTGTCCTGCCAGGTCAGATCACGAATGCACTGCAAACAACTATACATACATACATACATACATACATACATACATACATACATACAAACATACATACATACCCGTGTACATTCACTATTACTATTACTTTGCTGTCACTCGGAATCGAGGATGACGACCATCCAGCTGTGATACAATGATTTGAGTTATTAAGAATGTCACCTTCATTGACTAAAGAGGCCGACACGGGACCGGCAGGGTCGTTCACAGATGTTGCACGTGTGGAGGGCTACATCTAGTGCGGGAGGGGCGGCGGCAGCGTCTTTCCGCCGTTGACGCTTGTCTGTCTCGGAATGCAGTCAGGCTAACTCGAAAGTATTGACACCTTGTTTGGTGCTCCTCCAAGCGTTACGGTGTGGAGTAATCGTCTCCCAGGTGAGGGGGTCGATTTGGCACTAGGTTTGCCTTAAGACTATCCTTATACCTTTTCAGTTACCCACCAGCGAGTAATATGGCCAGTCCAGCATAGTTGTTAATGGATAATGGTAGCCTCGATGCTCCTACAGTTGGTGTCCACGAGAATACTGGGATATGTTCCCTTGTCTTCCCAGCGAACTCGGAGGATGGAGCGTAGACTACGTTGGTGAAAGTTTTCAAGTGCCTTGAAGTGTCTCCTGTATGTGACCCATGTCTCGCTGCCATATAGCAGGGTGGGGAGCACCACTGCTCGATATACGTGCAACTTTGTAGATAGTTTCAGCTCCCTAAAGCTAAAGACATGGGTACGGAGTCTGCCAAAGGCTTGAGATGAACATCTATTCCGATGTTAAACCTCTTCATCGATGTCTGCAGTGCTGTACAGGTGGGAGCTGAGATACCGAAAGTAGGTAACATTAGCGAGGGTAGTACCGTTAATCTGGATGGATGGTGGAGGTGTGGCTGAACCAGGGACAGGCTGAAAGAGAATCTGAGTCTTAAGTACATTAACCTCAAGGCCAAAGTGTGCATAAGTATCTGCGTAGGTGTTCAGGATCTCCTGTAGGTCGCGTTCAGTGTGAGCGACAAGGATGAGGTCGCTGCATACTAAAGTTCAGTAATGGAAGCTGCCGACACTTTTGTTCCTGCCTGGAGTCGTCTTATGTTAAAAAGACCCTGCATCCGGTACGCGATGTCCACTCCTCTGGGTAAATTGGCACTGGCACGAGTAAGGAAGGCAGCCAAGAAAATGGAAAAGAGAGTTGGTGCCATTACACCCTTGTTTTACCCCCGTTTGGATGGGGAAGAACTCAGACTGGATGCCATTGTAAAGGACAATGTCGTTCATGCCATTGTAGAATTGCCTCACAATTGCAATGAATTTTGGTGGGATGCCAAAACTGCTGAGGGTCCCCCAGAGGGCTTCCTGTTGTTGATTGAGTGGAAGGCCTTGGTTCGGTCAATGAAGGCCATGTACAGATCATGATGCTGTTCTCTGCACTTTTCCTGTATCTGGTGGGCAGCAAAGATTATGTCAGTGGTGCCACATGATGGTCTAAAGCCACATTGAGATTTTGGGAGGAAATTTTCCGCCTCAGGAAGACGTCTGTTTAGGAAGACTCTGGCGATAATCTTGCCAGCTACGGACAACAGCGAGATCCCGCAGTAGCTACTACAGTCTGACCGGTCTCCCTTGTTCTTATAAATACTGACGATGGAGTCACCTCTAAGAGCTTGAGGGATTTCCTCCTTTTCTCATATATTCTCCTGAAGAGTGGAGACGGCTGGTAAACAGATGTCCTTCTGCTGTGGGACCTACTGGGTAGTCAGGACATCCACATTAGCGTTTTGGTTGAGCAGTGAATGGTAGTGCTCTTTCCAGCGCTGAAGAATGCCTTCTTCGTCTTTAATTAGGGAATTACCGTCAGATGAGCAAGGGCCGCGCTATGAGTGACTGGCCCATAAATTGTTTTGTGGAATAGAAAAATTCGCACATCTTGTGCTTCACATGCTTTATTTTTAAATCAGTCGTTCTTTACATTGCGAAGTTCACGCTGGGCAGCCGCTTTCGTCTTGCGGATGGTATCAGCTTTGGTCTGAGACTAAGGGCTGTTTTGCCAGTCAGTTAAAGCAGCACTTTATCATCGACGAGTACGTTGATTTCCGGGTCATTTTCATCAAACCAGTACTGGTGTATTCTTTCGATCTGGCCAAGAGTCTCTCTGCAGGTTTTTGTCATGACAGTGTCGAGAATATCCCATTCGGTATTGGGATTTGGGTTGTTTGTTGTTGGGCTGTTTATCAGTCCATGTTCACCATGTTCGAGCTGCTCTCTGAAAGCATGTGCTACAGCTGGATCCTCCAGACGCTTAGTGTTAAAAAACCTCTTCTGGAGGCTTGCTGCCTCCGCCGTTTTGGGGCAACATGAAGTGAGAGCTTAGCTCTGACGACCTGATGATCAGTGTCACAGTGGTCTGAGCCACACATGGCTTGGGTGATGAGGACATCTCGGCAATCTCTTTCTTTGACAATGATGTAGTAAATGAGACAGCACACTTGCTGAGGAGGAGTAGGTCGTTGGAATTACACTTCCCTAGTCCACTTCTCCCTATGGTTCCCTGCCAAATGTCAGCATCTCTGCCAACTCTGGCATTGAAGTCACAAAGGAGCACAACCTTATCTTCTCTGGGGATAGAGGTTAGCAATCTATCGAGGTCGGCGTAAAAGGCCTCCTTGATGTCATCCTCTGCAACCAGTGTCAAGGTGTATGTACTGATCAAGGCATAACGTGAGTGATTCGGTGGGACTCCGAGCGTCATGAGGAGCTCGTTGATCCCAAAAAACATTTCAGTTAGCCTATGTAGGATGCGTTAGCGGATGGCAAACCAACTCCATAAATGCGGTTTCTCTTTGCAACAGGCTTACCCTCCCAGAAGAAGGAATAGCCAAACCCCCGTTCTGTGAGTCGATCCTCGTTTGGGAGCCGGGATTCATTAATGGCTGCTGTGTATATGTTATACCTAGCCGCTCTTTTGCCACAAGGGCTCTTCTTTCAGGATGCTCATTTGTGCCAGTATCCAGAAGGGTCCTAACATTCCATGTAGCAACCCTACGAGGTTGTATATTGTGTTTTTGTTTGGATCTGTGATTATAATTGTGTTCTCGACCGCATGAGGATTCCCTTACTGGGTGCGGTTGCCCATGCAGGATGGTTCTTTCAGCATGCTATGTGTAGGGCACCCTTTCTAGCCCCCCTCCCCATGTGGGGTGAGCAGAGTGGCTCCTCGAAAGGGCTGCTCAGTCGCACAGATAGGACCGGATTGCACAGCTGCCTAGTTCCCAGTGCATAAACGACCATCTTATCTATGCCGCCCATGTGTAGAGTTGTGACTAGAGATTCCCGGCAGTCCTTTCTGCCTGTATCCGTCGCCACTCGTCCGTCGCCATAGGACTTTTTGGGGTAAAGGGGTTTTGATGATGATAAGAAGTATGATGAGCTGTATGATGGCTGCTTGTGAGTTGATTTACTGTATGTGGTGAGGCAGGAGGGCAGGTTGCAACCACACATCTTGGCTCTCCCCTTCCTGATCCAGTTGCAGCGACTGGGGAGAGGGAGAGTTGCAATGGACTGCCGATATCCCAGTATGTTGGGTTTTGCCTTAGAAGCCTGTCCATCATGTACTGCCTTCGTCCGCCGGTGCAGTCGTTGGGTTCCAACGTTGGTCACCTCTTCCGCCTATACCGCCGTTGGGGCCTTATACCTACCGAGGTTAATCCTCAAGGCAGCGGGGCACACACACACACACACACACACACACACACACACTGGCGTACAGGATGTATCACTCGCTCACACCGTAACACTCGCCATCTCATGACTGTATTCTCATCCTATAGATAAAAAGAATTGATTGCTACACTTGTATACCGATCGAGACAAAAAAAGTATCACTCACCACTTAAGTACATACGAAAAGGGGACACTTAAAAACTGATCCTGAGTTAGGTTAGGTTAGGTTAGACTCTGCGTATTACCAAGCACCGTATCGATCCATCACAATCAGCAAAAGAGACTTACTGTCGTGTCAATATTTACTGAGCACTAACACACGTACACACGTGTTTTGGCTTAAATATCAATCGAAAGAGGCAAAAAGAAGAAAAAGATGTGACATTAAATAATAATAACCGGCGCGAAACACACACACACTAACGTTATAAACAAAAAGAATCATAACATCTTGGACACTTAACGACATTCTCACTTGAGGTACAGTAAGTCCTAAACTCCTCTGCACCGCACCTAAACCAATCATAAAGTAACATGAGACCCACAACTACAGTACATCAATATCTAGAGACCACTCCGAGTCATGAGCGGACAAATGTTAACAAAGGCAGTAGAAGCGTGGTCACCTGAGTACAGAGTGAGGAGTGGTGGGGTGTGGCCGTGTTTATTTTCTCTGTCAATAACTGCGTCTGAATTGATAAGTGTTCTCATCAGTTGTGGTGCAGTGCTGCTGGGGAACAAGCGACCTCGTCTCCACCTTGGTTGTATCCTGGATACACCAGGACGTTCCTACGGTGTCTACTTCTTCATTGTTCACAATATTAAGGATATTATCAACGCTAACTCGATCATGAAAGCAATGTTTACGGTACTGTAGTATAAAGTGACTTAATACGGACCAGAAACTGTCTTAGTAAGACACTTGTTTGGTAAGACTTTATATCAAGAGCAAGACCGACTGAGAAGACTGACATTATTACTGAGATAATGAAGCGTGAAAACACGGACGGGAGCAAGTCGGTTCACTGTAGAGGTTTGCCAGCTTTACTCTGTCTTCTACGACTCTTGGGTTGTTTCCCTTTCACAAGAGTTACCACGGTAGGAGTGACGTTGGTTAGGTGTGGCCAGCAGACTTCAGTAACACTCAAGAGGACGTGGCCTTTGCTGGCATGGTCTGTGCTGTTTGCGGTAGGAAATGTCTCTTTTGTGATCACTAACGCCACCAAATGGATAAGGAAACATTCTATTCCCTCACCACTAGGTGTCGCTGCCCTTGGATTCTACGTGAGCATCATGATTGCCACGTGCGCCTACCTCTACCAGGTCACCAACAGTCACCGCCTCGCGCTGATCGTTATTCGTTTCCAAGATTTACTCAACAACGTTTCAGATGTGCAGAAACTTTTCCTTCAGAGTAGTGGCAGCAAGTTAGGAAACGCTGGCAGCCAACAACCTCTGCGATGTATTAACAAGTTGAGGCTCATGTTTAAAGGCATAGAGAAAACTGATCTTCTAGTATTTGTCTTCGTGACCTTGATTATGGTTGAAACTGGTTATTACATGTATTTATCATTGTACCATTATTATTATTTGGAAGTAATAAGAGTCTTCTTTTCTTCTCTCCTGCGTCTCGTTTTCACCTGTTTAATCACTTGCTTCATGAGGACTCTTGCAAAGACACTCACAGAAACGCGACGCGCTATTGCTACGCACCTCGAATCCAATGACCGTTTGGCATACGTCACCTGCCCCATATCTCCGGTAGACGACCCAGGCACAAGAGACCTCAGTAAAAGTCATCATGACGCACGGCACCTCAACACCATGGGCGCCACACACCTGAGAACGAGCGCACGTGGACAAGACTGGAGTCTCCATGACTTGGTCCCGACCAGCGTGATAAATGAGGCACAACTAAAGACTTTTGAATCACTGCTGAGACAGGTGTGTGTTACCTCGTGTATCAGTAAATGAGAGTTAATGTCAATCTCATACATATTGTCAATGAATATATTATGTTACCAAAGTAAAACTAACAGTGAACTTATTATTAGTTTAAAACTTGTTGGATTATATCTCCGTGCTTGAAATAACTAACAGTAAGGCGTGGTCAATACCTGGATTAGGCAGATGTATATCACTCTAATTTAGGTGAATTTTTGTACATTTTTTAATAGGTTGTCATCTTAGAAGGCTAATATAACACGGGCGATGCTTTACCACATGCATGTAGTATCATTAGCCTTACATGTAAACAATAGCTCGTCCACCTTAGTAGCCGCTGTACTTCCCGACAGGTAGAGACGCTTCAAGATCGGGTGTTTGACTACTTCGGGCCACCTCTCATCTGCCATTTCCTAAACATCGTCCTGAGCTCAATCGCCAGCACCTACTACCTCCTCACTTGGGATGTGGCTCTCGTCACAAGAAGTCTGGCAATACTCACCAACATTTTTAGCATTGTGCTTATTCTACACGGGACCTGGATAATGCAGAAGGAGGTATGTGTGTGTGTGTGTGTGTGTGTGTTCAAATACTAATAATATCTTTGTCTTTCTACCATATTTATGAGAATGTATTATAAAGTGAAACTACTTCTCCTTCACGGATCAGCGGGACGCCTCCGTGACTTGGTTGAAGGACGAGCTTCTCCAAGTTGAGGACGAACGTGTACTGGCCAGGGTAAGGGAGACAGAGAGAGAATTTCTTTTAAACTGTCAACAGAAAATTCAATTCAACACCTCCAACTGAATTAACAAGAAACTGATATTTAAGTCCAATAAAACACACACACACACACACACACACACACACACACACACACACACACACACACACACACACACACACACACACAGGTTCTAATAACAATAACGTGTCAGGTTTGGTCTCTTGGCGTGACTCCTTCATGAGCTGTATCACGTATCAGATAAACAGCGCCAAAACTCAACGTCAAAATATTCCATTACCAATTTCCGAAAATAATCAAACAAGAACCGATTCAAAACGCATGTGTTAAATTCCCAGTAATTTTCTCTTCCTTTCTGTAGAACTCCTTTTAAAGATCGTATTGATATTTACCCAAATCTGAAAATTAAAAAAAAAAAATCTCAAATTCGATCAAATCTATACTGAATTTATATTAAATATATATTAAATCTAAATTGAATTGCTATTAAATATTTATAGTTTCTATCGGGATAAGCAGTGTATAATAGTACTGTACTAAGTTGAGAGTAACTCAGTATAACCAGACAGTATAACCAAATGCAGTATTGCCAGACACAATAACCAAATGCAGTATAGCCAGACACAATAACCAAATGCAGTATAACCAGACACAATAACCAAACGCAGTATAGCCAGACACAATAACCAAATGCAGTATAGCCAGACACAATAACCAAACGCAGTATAGCCAGACACAATAACCAAATGCAGTATAGCCAGACAGTATAACCAAATGCAGTATAGCCAGACACAATAACCAAACGCAGTATAGTAAGAGAGTATAACCAAACGCAGTATAGCCAGACAGTATAACCAAACGCAGTATAGCCAGAGTATTATACTACATTATAATGACGTCTAATAACACACACAGGGCTGGTGGTTGGTGGGTGACATGCAGAGAACACTGTGTCCCAAGGCAGTGGGCTGTTTCACCCTCGACAACCACTGTTTTGTGGCTGTGAGTACCACCTTAACTCACTTTACTCATCGAGTCATATACTTTACTCACTCATATATCCTTGCTGACTCATAATTTCCTCCGCTCACTCACCACAAATATATTTTACTCACTCATGTGTGTTGACGGTACAGGTGGGGAGTTTCGTGGCGACCTACGTGGTGATCCTTCTCCAGTTTACTACCAACAACACTACCTCGGCCTTCACGACCTCCCACCCACCGACTACGGCCTCCAGTGGCCTCTAAGACTCCTGCCTCCAGTAACCTCTAAGACTCCTGCCTCCAGTAACCTCTAAGACTCCTGCCTCCAGTAACCTCTAAGACTATTGCCTCCAGTAACTCATTAGAAGTTTCCTTTTTATCCAAAACGAAAGCTTTCAAACTTTTAAGTATAGCGGGGATGATTCAGAAATAGCTCCAAATTTCCCCCTTAACCCCTAGCATCTGAACTCATAATAATTGTGATGTATCTCCAATCTTTGACCTACTGAACTCTAGGCTTACAATCTATCCCCAACAGCCAGATTCTTCGATCCCGGAACTTTTCAATACCGGAAAATAACATTTAAAATTCTGAGAAATTCCAAAAAATATTTCTCTATTACCGGCCATTTGTATGAATTTCCAAGAGATTGCATCAGGCACGCAGCACGTGGGTGGGCTAGCTGCAAGAGGGACGTAGGCCGTAGGCTTAGAGCACTCCTGCGCTGCGATTGGCTACTTATGTCAGATGACTGGAATGGATGCCTAAGATTGGTTAATGTATCTCGCTGCCTGTGTCTTTAAATTCTAGCATCATGATGAGGACAGTTCATGGTTTGCTGCCATTGTACAAGCTTGTTTGCTCACCCCCTGCTGTTTTCCCAACTATCTGTGTTGTGCAGTAGTGTACATTACTGTACCCGGATAAAACCAGTCAAGAATACCTTCAAGTATTATTAATACATAAAAAATAAAGACATTACGTATACTGTACTGCATACTCAGTAATTGTGAGAGTACAGTATGTAAAATTCTGTACATAGCAGTGGACAGTGTAGGCCTACTGCAGTCCAGTGTACACGGTGAACGTATAGTATACAGCACATGCACAATGCCTAAAGGTACAGCAAATAACACGAGCACCAAGGGACCGAGGAGAGGCACAACGAAAAGATGTTATGTCTGCCATTTATAATGTGAAATATACCAAAAAAGCTGAGGAGGCAAGAACGGAAAGTTATGCCAGGCGCAGGTGAGGGAGGTAGCCTCACCCATACTCATATGGGTAACATGTTTGTATCACCAGCTCAAGACAACAGCATCAACTGGTGAGTAAAGTGGAGCGTATACAGTAGTATATTATGTGCATTTACCATATACTTTGCCAGTGTAGTAGAGATTTCATAAATGAACATATCTTTGTGGCTGTCCGAAGGCAGTTAAGGCCTCCATAATAATGGTGCTTCAAGCCAGACAAGTAGTTTACACTCAGAAACATTCATCAATGTAATGATTGTTTATCAGACCACAGCTTACAGCCCAGAGAAGAACAGCACATATAGCAGTGACCGGAAGAGCAGGTGTGTACACCCTCGTAAGTTGACCCACCCTTCGTAATTAATGTGAGATTAAGACCTGAACCAAGAGAGGTCACGGTTACAATGACCCAGAGTTCTCACCGCCGCGTCATTAGCTTAACCCGGCGACATGACCATGTTACTCAAGAAGCTACCCTCCAGCCAGTACACCTGTCACCTGGCCAGACACACCCAGATTAGTGACTCCATCTTCCGGCTCGTGACCGCCAATATAAGAGCCTGCAGCTCCTTCCACGAGGCATTCAGATTATTATTGTAAAAGGGAAGGGTCTAACAGCTCCTTCCCAGAGTCAGACAGGGCGAGAGAGAACTCAGAGTCACAGCATCACAAGTCGAGGTCAGGAGGGAGAATTCCCTCCCCAGCACCGAGTCTCCCACAGGAGACAGACTCCAGCAGCACCTACAGCTGCTGGGCCTCCCTCAGGTCACACGTGAGTCATTATCAGAGCGATCCATTAGGGTGAGTTACTTACGGTGGGAAGTGTATCCATCTGAGAGTCATTGTCTGGTAACGTCAATATAATGATCTATTAATGTGTCCATACCATTGAGTTAATTAATAAACAGTTGTACTTAGAATTGGTGTTCAGAAGATTCCCCCTACGACTATAATACCAAGTTAAAGTAACCAACCGGCCACGCTACCAAGCTTTCCTCACTTTATCCTCCAACTATAAATTCTTACTATTACTTTCTACCTAGTTCCCCCTCATTACACCAATGCCCGGAAAAATTCCGGGGATAAGAATTAGTCCCAATACCCAAGTATGTGTATATATACGTGTGTGTGTGTGTGTGTTAATTAACTCTTAATAAAACCTGGTTCAGATGCACCAAAGTTTGCTTTGTTTCATGTAAGACGTCGTTTACTATCATAACATAACCAAATTATTCCTACAACGCCTTACATTAGGTTAAGTGCAGGTTAGGTTAGGTTAGACGCCGTGTATAAGCAAGTACCGGGTCGATCCTTCACAATAAGCTTAACGAGTGTATTGTCGTGTCAATATTTACTGGACATAAGACTATTACAGAGCCGACCAACGCCCTCCTGGTCGATGTACGGTAATGTTGGTCCTCAATAATTCTTCCTGTCTTGGTTATTATAATCATCATTATTATTATTAATATTATTATATTCTATCATCATGAAGAATAATCCTTCCTATAAATCCTGGGCTACAAGGATGAACACATAGTTGGGTTAAGTTAAGTTAGGATGAAACCATTGTTGTTATAAACAACAGATAGTTCCTCTCCATCAAGAGTTTTTTCTCATTTTTTCCCTCACCAACTGGTAAAAAAAATCAATCAATAAATTAAGAATGCTGAAAATAATACTTCACAACTCATCAATAGCTACCCTCACCTAACGTAATCTAACCTAACCTACAATACCAAACGACTAAAGCATTATACCAAAACCATATCTAACCTAATCGAGCCCGAAACTGTACAAACTCTTAACATGACGCTGGGACATAGGGGCTTCAGGTACAGTAAGTCCTAAACTCCTCTGCACCGCACCTAAACCAATCATAAAGTAACATGAGACCCACAACTACAGTACATCAATATCTAGAGACCACTCCGAGTCATGAGCGGACAAATGTTAACAAAGGCAGTAGAAGCGTGGTCACCTGAGTACAGAGTGGGGAGTGGTGGGGTGTGGCTGTGTTTATTTCCTCTGTCAATAACTGCGTCAGAATTGATAAGTGTTCTCATCAGTTGTGGTGCAGTGCTGCTGGGGAACAAGCGACCTCGTCTCCACCTTGGTTGTATCCTGGATACACCAGGACGTTCCTACGGTGTCTACTTCTTCATTGTTCACAATATTAAGGATATTATCAACGCTAACTCGATCATGAAAGCAATGTTTACGGTACTGTAGTATAAAGTGACTTAATACGGACCAGAAACTGTCTTAGTAAGACACTTGTTTGGTAAGACTTTATATCAAGAGCAAGACCGACTGAGAAGACTGACATTATTACTGAGATAATGAAGCGTGAAAACACGGACGGGAGCAAGTCGGTTCACTGTAGAGGTTTGCCAGCTTTACTCTGTCTTCTACGACTCTTGGGTTGTTTCCCTTTCACAAGAGTTACCACGGTAGGAGTGACGTTGGTTAGGTGTGGCCAGCAGACTTCAGTAACACTCAAGAGGACGTGGCCTCTGCTGGCGTGGTCTGTGCTGTTTGCAATAGGACACGTTTCCTTGACGACTTTTTGTTTTATCAAATGGGAAATATTATTTTTCATTCTCACACCACTAGGTGTCGCTGCCCTTGTATTCTACGTGAGCTTCATGATTGCCACGTGCGCCTACCTCTACCAGGTCACCAACAGTCACCTCCTCGCGCTGATCGTTATTCGTTTCCAAGATTTACTCAACAACGTTTCAGATGTGCAGAAACTTTTCCTTCAGAGTAGTGGCAGCAAGTTAGGAAACGCTGGCAGCCAACAACCTCTGCGATGTATTAACAAGTTGAGGCTCATGTTTAAAGGCATAGAGAAAACTGATCTTCTAGTATTTCTCTTCGTGACCTTGATTATGGTTGAAACTGGTTATTACATGTATTTATCATTGTACCATTATTATTATTTGGAAGTAATAAGAGTCTTCTTTTCTTCTCTCCTGCGTCTCGTTTTCATCTGTTTAATCACTTGCTTCATGAGGACTCTTGCAAAGACACTCACAGAAACGCGACGAGCTATTGCTACGCACCTCGAATCCAATGACCGTTTGGCATACGTCACCTGCCCCATATCTCCGGTAGACGACCCAGGCACAAGAGACCTCAGTAAAAGTCATCATGACGCACGGCACCTCAACACCATGGGCGCCACACACCTGAGAACGAGCGCACGTGGACAAGACTGGAGTCTCCATGACTTGGTCCCGACCAGCGTGATAAATGAGGCACAACTAAAGACTTTTGAATCACTGCTGAGACAGGTGTGTGTTACCTCGTGTATCAGTAAATGAGAGTTAATGTCAATCTCATACATATTGTCAATGAATATATTATGTTACCAAAGTAAAACTAACAGTGAACTTATTATTAGTTTAAAACTTGTTGGATTATATCTCCGTGCTTGAAATAACTAACAGTAAGGCGTGGTCAATACCTGGATTAGGCAGATGTATATCACTCTAATTTAGGTGAATTTTTGTACATTTTTTAATAGGTTGTCATCTTAGAAGGCTAATATAACACGGGCGATGCTTTACCACATGCATGTAGTATCATTAGCCTTACATGTAAACAATAGCTCGTCCACCTTAGTAGCCGCTGTACTTCCCGACAGGTAGAGACGCTTCAAGATCGGGTGTTTGACTACTTCGGGCCACCTCTCATCTGCCATTTCCTAAACATCGTCCTGAGCTCAATCGCCGACACCTATTTCCTCTTCAACTTTGAACCAGTCTTTACCAGGAGCTGTCTGGCATTACTCGCCAACATTTTGAGCCTTGTGGTTATTCTACACGGGACCTGGATAATGCAGAAGGAAGTATGTGTTTGTTTTTATATTCTAATACTATTAATAACTATCCTTTTCCACCAATTTGTTTTTATTATTACCATGATTCATTCTGTCTCATTTAACCTTCGTGTCTATTTTTGAGTTTTATTTACATTAATAACTTTCGCTTTCTATGTTATTATTCCTCTTTTATCACCATGATGTATTCCCTCTCACTTCCTCACCTCCTACTGGTCAATGCGTCTGAGGGTTGGTGGTCACGGCCCTCCATCCTGACTCTTTTTCTCCGGCGACCACTGCTTTTAATCTAATTTATCCATTCTAGTTTCTGCCTTCCCGTGATGATGATGATGATATAATATAAATGCATTATAAAGTGAAACTACTTCTCCTTCACGGATCAGCGGGACGCCTCCGTGACTTGGTTGAAGGACGAGCTTCTCCAAGTTGAGGACGAACGTGTACTGGCCAGGGTAAGGGAGACAGAGAGAGAATTTCTTTCAAACTGTTAACAGAAAATTCAACACCTCCTAACACAGTGTAAACAAACAGTGTAGCCAGAAACTGTACTATATGGCCAAACAACAAAGCTAGAAACAGTACAGCCAAACGCAGTATAGCCAGACAGTATAACCAAACGCAGTATAGCCGCAATATAACCAAACGCAGTATAGCCAGACAGTATAACCAAACGCAGTATAGCCGCAATATAACCAAACGCAGTATAGCCAGACAGTATAACCAAACGCAGTATAGCCAGAGTATTATACTACATTATAATGACGTCTAATAACACACACAGGGCTGGTGGTTGGTGGGTGACATGCAGAGAACACTGTGTCCCAAGGCAGTGGGCTGTTTCACCCTCGACAACCACTGTTTTGTGGCTGTGAGTACCACCTTAACTCACTTTACTCATCGAGTCATATACTTTACTCACTCATATATCCTTGCTGACTCATAATTTCCTCCGCTCACTCACCACAAATATATTTTACTCACTCATGTGTGTTGACGGTACAGGTGGGGAGCTTCGTGGCGACCTACGTGGTGATCCTTCTCCAGTTTACTACCAACAACACTACCTCGGCCTTCACCACCTCCCACCCACCGACTACGGCCTCCAGTGGCCTCTAAGACTCCTGCCTCCAGTAACCTCTAAGACTTCTGAACCTCTTGTTTGATGTAAGAAACCTGCTGGTCCCTGAGTGGATATACACACACTATATGTCACAGTAAGTAGATATATTCACGTGTTAAGACTGTTTACATGCAGCGTATCTCACAACATAACTGTCCTTGTTTTTGTATCATTACTCGTAATGACCAATTGATTCTTCATGTCAAGATTTTTTTTATAGGAAAAGTTAAATAATCATTTTAAAAACATTCAAATTTATCGTGTATATAAGCTAACCTAACGCTAAACTAAATCTAGCCTAAGCTAACCTAGGCTAGCCTAACCTAAATTAATCTAACCTAACCTAACAAAATCTAAACTAACCTAACCCCCGTGTATAACCAGCTTGGCCTTCACCTCATCTATACAGTCACACCCCAGGAGAGCCTAAATAACATGTGGTTTCTGTAGGTACGTGTAAGCATGACTCCCCCCCCCCACCCCCACCAGAGAACACACCTTACACGAGTTATTTTAGTCTACCCTCTGGTTTTACTTTTAATATTCTTAGTTTAGCTCTTAATATTCTTACCTACGCTTAACACAGGTAATGACTCGATAATTTATAGCAGCAACACATTTTCCTTCTTTTATTATAATCAGGTTTTAAAAATATCTATTGTCTAAGTACTGTATTAATATTTCTTGTAATACCTACTGTATTTACAGTACCTGCTTTTATTGTACCATCAAAACCGTTTTATCGGAAATTATCATGTAAATAGATAAGAAATTACCATTGCAATAAATATAATTGCCAACTAGACATAATCCTGACGGCTCTGTCCTCTTGTTCAACCTTAATACTGTTGTACTGTTATACTTATGTTTGCAATTCTTCTGCAATTTATGTATATACTTATAATAAAAATAAATAAAATAAAATAATAAATAAATAAAAATAATGAATATTGAAGTGATAACCGTGGTAACATTATGAGATGTTCTTATTACCACCATGTTATTGTACTATTCCAGATGACACTAAATGTTACATAATACTTCCTTGAGATAAATGTATAGTATATATCAGGTGCCTAAAAGAGAGCTCAGGTTCTCAACTGGCTCAGCCATATTAATATTGGTATTATTATCCACCCTGTATCTGTGTTTTTCTGACTAAATAAACTTTCAATTCAATTCAATCCAAACTATTCATAATGACCGTCTTCTCTAGGAAAACAATTAATTATTTCTGACGATGTTTTTACCTTTCACGGGTTGGTTAATTGGTTAGGTTCCCCCCTTCCCCCCCCGCCTCCTCCCTCTTCCCTTCCCCGTCTCCTCCCCCTCCCTTCCCCCCCTCTCCCCCTCTTCCCTTCCCCGCCTCCTCCCCTCTTCCCTTCCCCCCTCCTCCCTCTCTTCCCTTCCCCCGCCTCCTCCCCCTCTTCCCTTCCCCCGCCTCCTCCCCCTCTTCCCTTCCCCCGCCTCCTCCCCCTCTTCCCTTCCCCCGCCTCCTCCCTACTACAACACCACCACACTGTACTGTACTATGCATGTCGCCATAACTATTTACCATAACTGTGCACCAACTCTCTACCATAAATCTGTACCATAACTCTCTACCATAAATCTGTAGCATAACTCTCTACCATAAATCTGTACCATAACTCTCTACCATAAATCTGTACCATAACTCTCTACCATAAATCTGTACCATAACTCTCTACCATAAATCTGTACCATAACTCTCTACCATAAATCTGTAGCATAACTCTCTACCATAAATCTGTACCATAACTCTCTACCATAAATCTGTACCATAACTCTCTACCATAAATCTGTACCATAACTCTCTACCATAAATCTGTACCATAACTCTCTACCATAACATTCTTACCACAAAGACGAAAAACTAATGATTGCTGAATTTCACTGAGAGGGAGGGAGGGAGGGAAGGAAGGGAGCGGGAAGGGAGGGAGGGAGGGAGGGAAGGGGGAAGGGAGAGGGAGGGAGGGAGGAAATGAAGAAAAGAAGAAGAAAAAGGAAGGAAAACAACCCGGTAATATACAAGAGAAACCAGCAGACGGCCATCATCACTAATGTGTGTGTGGTCAACAACACTAGCGCGAGTATCGATCATTTTACACCCACGACCGTCATCCTCGTTGGAGAGTCGGTGGCAAATGAGACACTCTACACCGTGTCCCAGCTGCTAAGTTGAAAGACCACACACACACACACATTACCACTTAACGAAGCATCATTTAACATCATCAGTGAATCGTAGGAGAACTAATTTACATATTGCGTCACGGTGTTTATTAGTATTCACGAGGCTTTGTCTTTAAGTAATGTTAACGTTATGAGAATGTTTTATTAGTGCTTAAGGGAGTGACCAATGGGAGTTATCTTATTAATTCAGACACCTGCACTGCACCTGGACTGTATATCTAGAGCAGGTAAGTCTCTCTCTCTCTCTCTCTCTCTCTCTCTCTCTCTCTCTCTCTCTCTCTCTCTCGTAATAACACAGAATCACACCTCACAAAACAACAAAGTACAGACGCCACAACAAATTAAAGACGCGAGAAAGGAGCAACAAAAGGTGTTCTTGACATTATACACAAACTCAGTATACTGTATATATGCAGGGCTGGCGGGCGACTGTACCGGTTAATGGCGCCGCAGAGGATAATGGCGCCGTGATTGTGGGTTTCCGCCAGTCAGTGACCTTGATGTTGTGGTGTTGGAGGCGTGGTTGATGCACGCCACAATTCGTCTCGGCATAATGGTGCACATCGGTATATACAGTACTGTATTTTAGAATAGAAGATAAGGGGAAGGAGAGGAAAGAAGAGAAGGGGAAGAAGAGGAGAGGAAGAGACAGATATGAAGAAACGGAAAAGTGGAAGGAAGAGAAGAAGATAAGGAGAGGGAAGAGGAGTAAAAGCAAGAGGAAGAGAAAGAAGTGGAGATTATCAGTCAAGTGGATCAAGAGATTCCAGCTATAGTGTGTTGACGTAATCACAACACGCAAGGACGCACACACGGGTCATAACTACAAATACAGAACCACGCCATCTATATCACCGTAGTTGGTACTTCCCCAGCAGGCGTGACCCGGTGTGTGTGTGTGTGTGTGTGTGTGTGTGTGTGTGTGTGTGTGTGTGTGTGTGTGTGTGCTTTTACCTGTGTGATTACCTGTTTTTTCCCTTTAACCAAATCAGTGGGTCACCCTCCTTCAGTAGCTATACCCGTCAGGAGAAACCCGCCGCTGGAGGACACGCACAAAAGGAATCATAATGACCGGATTATAAAGTTCCCTACTAATTGGGTCCTACACCGCGTCCTACCCTCGAGCCCTACCCCAAGGTCCTTCCCACAGGTCCTATCCCCGAGCCCTACCTCCAGGTCCCAGGGTTAATTTTGTCTCCTATAACTGTGGTTAAGTGAACGTATCTAGTTAAGGGAAAGTCTCAGTTACAAGTTACATTATTTGTGTGTTTCATCTCCAGCCAACCAGTTTGATACATTCTCACACCTTCACTTACGAGGAATGTTGATCGTATGACCCTCTGAGAACCAGGAACCTCGCTACCAATCAGGAGACTTCCTCTGGGTCCTTCAACACACACACACAGCTCACAAATTACCTCCAGTGTGGCCAAGAGCCTGCCCCCCCTCCGCCACAACCTGCTGCGATTTCTACGGAGTTGCCTTCCCTGTCCCCTTATGTGGTGCGTGTGGTCTGGTGTTTCCTTTCACTAAACAGAGAGAGTTTGTTGTGATTCTACCCTTCACCAAGCAATAATAAACAATCACTTGGTATTTACGATGCCTTACGCCGGGGTGGTGCCTGAGGGTGACTCGCTGCCTCCCTTACCAATAACTTGTAAACAAACCGCATGGTGTACACGGAGTGATATCAGCCTTAATGGATATATTGCATTGTGTTCGTGGGCTTCCTCTTCCCGTGCCCCTACCCCCTTCCTCATATTCTTCCTCTAATTCTCATTTTCCTCTTCCTCCTCCTGTTATTAAACGCCTTCTTCTTCTCTTCCCCCTCTCCCTCTTTTAATAAAGACCGTCTTTAACCTAACCTACTTAACCTATTTGTTATAGCTTAACAAATTTATTGACAAAGCTTGGAGAACAGTTTGCCTTTTCTGAGCAATTCAGTCAGGTCTTGACACTGGGGACAGTATCACTTCTCACTGCCACGCAGGACAGAGGTTCATACACAAAGAAATAGATCTTATTCATTAACAATATATACTAAGCTCTACCCTAACTCAGTAAATTAATATACCTGACCTTATGATAATACAGTGGTGTTGATTTACTGTACTTTATACCTGTAACTGCATACCCAAATTTGTTTTTGTATTTCCGATGATACAGTAGCGATGAATTACTTGTACCTGTACTTTATACCAAACTCTACTCCCTGTAGTTCTGTACTTGACCTAATATTTCATGATACAGCCACTGCATTAATTCGTGAAGTGTGTTTCCCAGGCTTACAGCACATCTGGTGAAGCTACTCAAATACAGATGTGTGTGTGTGTGTGTGTGTGTGTGTGTGTGTGTGTAGAAAGCAAGAGAGAATGAGAGATACCTTTTCATGACCCCCCCCTCTCTCCTAACACGAACGCTAACCAAATCAACGATATAACTTACCTGTGTAATTAACGTCGTACAGGTAAACATTAATTAACATACCTGAACACAGTCTCAACTCGCTATCCAACACTCACCTGGAACACAAAAATAACTATACTGTACTATATACCGAAAGTATTATAAGTAAATAAATAAATTAATATACAGAATAATGAATAGATATATGTGATGGTAATTACACACACACACACACACACACACACACACACCTCTTGGGGGACGTTTTCTCAGTGCTTTCAAGTGCTTGTATGTCACGTTCTAGCTCCTCTTCCTCCTTGAGTAACCGTAGCAAACATTTACCAATCACTCCCTCCTCTTCCTCCTCCTCCTCCACCCTCTAACACACACTGTAAACAACCTGTACGTAGTTAGGCTCTCTGCAAACTAAAAACATCACCAATCTATCCATTTGTCTACATTACCCTGGCACCTGTTGTTTACAATGTATATATGTATGTGCAGAATGACACACCTGTTTGTTTACATGGGTAGAAAGTCGTTTTGTTTGTTATTCTGTCACAGTTTGTTTGTTTGCTATTCGGACTATCCTCGTATACTGTGGGTAGCTTGGGCAAATGCAAACAATATAGGTACGAGAGAGAGAGAGAGAGAGAGAGAGAGAGAGAGAGAGAGAGAGAGAGAGAGAGAGAGACCACGTCCTAGCCGTTTAATGACAAGGTTGCCATTGTCAAGTCAACCCCAGCCCCCTCCCCCCTATCTCCCTGCACGACTCCTGACCGTAAACCATAAGAGGAAGCCTTTTATTGCTTTTTCTTTAGCCTCCTCTTCCTTTTCTTCTGACCTGCTTCTGCTATTCCTCTTCTTTTTCTTCCTCCTCCTCCACTTCTGCTGACCTGCTTCTGCTATTCCTCTTCTTTTTCTTCCTCCTCCTCCTTCTTCTGACCAATCCATCCTCCTCCTCCTCCTTCTTCTTCTGATTTATCCATGTTCCTTCTCTTC